GTTATCAAATAAAAATTATCAAATAAAATAAATAATTATAAGCGATTATATTTGTGTCACACGGGTAAATATCAATATGGTTCAACTATTTGTGTGTCTATTGAAACATGCTTTTTCAAACTTTTTTTTAATGTTTTTTATATTATTAAAATTCAAAACAATTTATTTTTTATTTTTTTTTCCTATTTCAATAGATAAATGTTTATACTTTTCAAGTCTTTTCACACTTTGTTTTTCTGTTATTGCATGTGTACAATATATATACAGTAAAACTCCGTTAACTCAGACCCTGGATAAGTCGGACTTTAACTGAAGTGGACAAATTTTCAATACCCCTTGAATTCGCTATACATACCAAATGCTTCGCTTAACTCGGACATTCGCAAAGTCAGACAAAATATATATACCCGTTTAGAGTCCGAGTTTACGGGATTATACTAAATATATATATATATATATATATATATATATATATATATATATATATATATATATATATATATATATATATATATATATATATATATATATATATATAGATATATAGATATATATATATATATATATATTTATACATATATATATATATATATATATATATATATATATATATATATAGAGAGAGAGAGAGAGAGAGAGAGAGAGAGAGAGAAAGAGAGAGAGAGAGAGAGAGAGAGAGAGAGAGAGAGAGATATACTGTATAAATGAACCCGTCATTTCGAAAAGGGCACAAGTCACACTTTTTTCAAATTTCACTTTTTAATGCAATTTTATTTATTTAAGTGTTTTACATATTCCCTTTGAAGGAGAAACATTTTCATATGCCACAAGTCAACTTTAAATGCAAATGAAAACTAAAGTCTGTTTGAAAATGGCACAAGTCCCAGACTTATGCCTTTTTCAAGTGAAACAAAGCGCAACTGTAGTGACGTAATTTCACTTTTTTTGTAACAAAAATGGAAAATCGCGAACTTCCTGAGAATGCATATAGATCTAGAAAAAGAGTGTCTAATATAAGAAACAGTGGAAATTATAAACACAAAAAAATAAAAAAATTCAAAGAGGGAAGATGGTTTAGATCTAAATAACCTAAGAAAGAAGAATTTTCTTTTATTTATCACATTTAGATTGAAGGTGTGATAAGAAAAGTACGCAAGAAATCTTTTTGCTGTATGCATGGAATTTCTATGAAACAAGTTAGACATAATAACATAATAACATATTAGACATAATAAGACATATTAGACATAATATTAGACATATTAGACATAATAACATAATAAACCCTGATGCATTTTATTAAAAAAAAAGAGCAGCCTATAGATTACAGAGGTAAATCTCTGTGATCACGATGCAACGCATTACCTGGAGATACATTAACAAAAGTACGTGAGCGAAGTATATACCTTTGTGCTGAATTATATTTTTAAAAATATTGGCAACAAAGCCAAAGAACTGCACCTATTTTCTGATGGTTGTGCAGGCTAAAACAGAAATCATGCGACGGTCCGAATACTTTTATCACTGGTAGCTGAACTAGATAGCAATATAAATGAGATACAATATTACATACCAAAAAGAGGTCACTCATTCTTGCCAAACGATAGAATATTTGGAACAGCAAAACGACATTCAAAAAAATGATCGGATTTACACACCAACGATGTAAAAAAATGGTGGCTAAACCATTATAAGAAACTTGTGCTATCTGTGGATTCCTATAAAAAAGGAGTACCCAAGGACAAAAAACTTACTTTTGGTATTTCTAAAATTTCACATTTCACATTCTCTAATACCACAGCAGGTTTAGTGAAAATATGTGAATCCATAGATTGCTTAGTCAGTTATAATTTCCAGCTATTACAAAGGATGGGTACCCGGTCAACCTTACCATTGAGTAGTACTCCTGCATATGTTGGAAAATTACCTATCAATGAAAAAAATATATCAGATTTGAAAAAAATATGAAAAAATATATTCCATATTCAATAGAAGAGTACCAAAACTTTCTATACAAAGGTTTTTGCAACAACTTCGGCAAAAAATGAATTCCGAGAAATAATTGATGATTACCTAACAATAAATGTTTTTGTACAATAATAAATCTTTATTATTCTGATAATCTTTGGTTTTTTATATACAAAAAAGCGTTCATTCCGAAAAAGACATAAGTCCATAAATTTAAATTAGAAATAAATGTGTTATATATTATTTTTTTATAACAAATAAAACTCTAAAAACTTATGTATAACTTTTATATATCTACTGTTATCTTTAGTTTCTCTAGCACCATAGACTTTTTTTCTAATAAAGTTATTTTTGTTGATCCTGAAAAGTTTGAATAAATAGACTTGTGCCCTTTTCGAAATGACGGGTTCAAATATATATATTTATACAGTATATATATATTATATATATATATATATATATATATATATATATATATATATATATATATATATATATATATATATATATATGTATGTATATATATATATATATATATATATATATATATATATATATATATATATATATATATATATTATTTTTTTATTTTGTATGTATTTAGGTCCTTACGGTCTTATCATAGAGCACCGCATTTAACAGGAAATTTACGCCTCCTTCCGTACCAATGTCGCTTGTTGGGCTAGGGCTGGCGTCGAACCCCGGACCTCTGGGTTTTGAGCCAGAACTCTAACCACTGCGCCACGGCTGCAGTGGTTAGAGTTCTGGCTGTATATATATGTATATATATATATATATATGTATATATATATATATATATATATATATATATATATATATATATATATATATATATATGTATATATATATATATATATATATATATATATATATATATATATATATATAATATGTAAATATAATATGTATATGTATATAAATATGTATATATATATATATATATATATATATATATATATATATATATATATATATATATATATATTTATATACATATATATATATATATATATATATATATATATATATATATATATATATATATATATATATATATATATATATATATATATATATATATATATATATATATATATATATATTATATAAAATCAGTTGTGAGGTTTAGAACTTTAAAAACTTGACAACGGAAGTTTAAAATACTTCAGATTAAAATTTACAAACTGCGTTAAAACGCGTAGTTTGTATTTTCTTCTTATCGTTAGGCCTGCGCACAGTAAACTTCAAAGATTAAGTCATTCTATGGTGTGTTTTTAGACATCAAGCTAATTTCGTTTCACGTTGGAACATATTTGTTTTATTTTGTTTATCAGGCCGACATCAGCCCGCAGAAGTCAAAAGATTCCGATCTAATACTGGCATAAAAGATGTCGGCAAGACATTAGGCCGACGTCCGTATGTTTTTTGGAATTTGCTCAAAAATATATAAAAGTAACGGAGTCTTATAAAAAACGAGATTTAAACAAAAAAACTTTAATTTAATTTTATTTCTTATTTTATCAAATCTTTTAAAATTATTCATAGTTTTCCAAAGTACAGAAAAAAGTTACAAAGCGCTACTTAACGTAAAGTTATTTTACCATTTTCAGAAGCATGCGAACCGCCTAATTATTTTTACGGATTATTTTACTTATTCTAAACCGTTATTAACGGAGAGAAAAAAAAACTTAGTACTTATGGAATAAAATTGCTTTACAGAAATTCGATACCTTTTTAATTACCTTACTTTTCGATTACCTTTTTAAATTCAATTTCAAGGTAGATTTTTGAGTTTTTTAAAAATACTACCAGAAAAAAACAATAATAATACGATAAATTTTTTGGTATGCCTGATTATATTTTTTTAATTTTTTTTATTCTCTAAGTTAATCTTATGTTACAAAAACGATAGGAACAAAATTTATAATGGGGGGGGGGGGGTCAGTACTGCCCAAAGTAATTTTAAGGACCTATTTTTCTTTATGGTAACTTTTTCAATCAATTTCTTCAAAATTATATATTTAAAAAATTATTTGGAGAGGGACAAGTTTCCCTACTGTTCCCCACTCCCTTGCTACGGGCCTGTTAAGTAACCCCGTTCTTATTTGTATTGTTCTACTATTTTGCGTAAAAATTATATTCAAAAAAATAATAATAATAAATTGACTTTAGCAATTGCTACACTTGTTATACTCTTGATACGCCCCTACACACCCTTACTCTTGATCCGTACCTACAAACAATGTCTGTCTTACAACTACACGTTGGTCTTGTGTAACAAATGCAATAAAAAATATTCAAATTATTTTAAAACAACGTCTAAGAATAATTACAAGTATAGTTACCTAATTTTAGTCTAGAGAACATGTGTACTTTTAGTCGTAAAATTAACGACAATATTTGGGTATTTATCAAGGTTCAGATGAGATTTTGATCAGGTTAGTTAAATAACGTCTGGGTTTTGATGAAAAACTTTTGAAAAAAATGGCTTGAAAAAAAAATGACCTATCTGTACTTCATATTCGAGTTTTATTTTCAGAATTCGTTATGGAAAAAAAAAGTTTTATTTCATGGGCCAAAGTTTAACTCTAAAATTCAATTAAATATTGAATTTAGTTCGCTGTTAATTTGTACTTGTATTCTCCAGAGAAACAATAATTACTTGATGTTTCTTAAAATGTTAACTTTACAAAGTACACATCATTACGTTTTGTTAACAAAAGAACACAACATTAAGTTTTGTTAACAAAACATTTTTTAAATTTATTTAATTGTTACAGCATAACAAACAAATTTTATTCAAAACTTTTGTTTAAAGCTAGTATAACTTTATAAAAACTTTAATAAAATCGACTGCAAATAATACGCTTTAAAACACCCTAAAAATAACGTTTTAAACAAAAGAAAATGTTAAGTTATAAAAATTTTAACTTTTTACTAAATAAACGATTTAAATTTTTATTAATTGAGACAGAAAGTTTTGATAGTTTAACTAACCGTGTTTTTTTTAGGTGTTCAACTACTTTCAGAAAACTTAATTTCACGGAAAACACTATTACGTGAAATTCAACATTATTTTCTACAAAATGCGAACAAATCAACTATAGTATTATATGGAATGACGGGTGTTGGAAAGACACATATTGCAAGAAATTTTTGTAAAACTTATTATAGCTTCTATAAAAACTTTGTTTGGATAAACGCAGCATTTGGAATGTTACAAACTTCAATGAGAAACCAATGTCAATTATTAGGATTAAAAGTTAACGATTCAAAAGGTGATTATTTGAATATAGAAGTGATTGTTGAAAAAATTCACAACTACTACAAAAATAAAAAAACTTTGTATATTTTTGATAATGTTGATAATGAAAGTGTTAAAAATTTATCGATGTACATTTCAAGAAAACCGAATTCATTTACTTTGATTACCTCGCAATGGAGAACGTGGTCGAATAATGTAAATAAAATGTATGTTGATGTTTTTTCGTTTGAGGAAGCATTTGCTTATGTAAAAAACAGAATTAAAGAAAACAACGATGGAAACATAAGAAGTTTAATAAAAGAACTTGGTTATCATCCGTTCGCTATAACTCAGGCATTAAAGTATATAAAAATACATAAAATTTCGATAGAAAACTACGTAGATCGATACAGATCAAAACCATTAGAAATATTAGACAATAATAACCTTCCAACCGAAGAATCAAAGTCTGCAATAAAAGCAATTAACCTAGTTTTAATAAAGTTAGAAAAAAGTAAACCTTTTCCATTTAAAATATTAAACTGTTTATCTCATTGCAACGGTCAAAACATCAGTAAACAATTTATAATCCAAATCTCAAAACAAATGGAAATAAATGAAGAATACTTAATAGATGAAGCAATTGCAGTATTAACGAATCATTCTTTACTAAACTGTTTTGATAATAAAAAGTATTCAATGCACGAACTGACTCAGTTGACGTGTAGATGTTTTCAAAATAGAAATTCAAGTGCAAATACATACTTAGATCTACTCGAAAATTATTTTAAAATTGAATTGAACGAAGTAAAAGGTCACACGGATTACGGAAACCATATTGTTTTTCATTTTATCTGTTTCTTTCGTAATAACGGAAAAAGAATTTCGAAACTTTTTTATAATAAGACGACATCTATTAAAAAATTATTAGTTTGTAAAGGTTTATTTGAAGAAGCAATCGAAATATTAAAAACTATTCAAAGTTTTATTACAGAAACTTATGGTGAAAGTAATAAATTCACGCTTTATACAAAACATAATATTGCAAGCTGTTTGCGCAATATGGGAAAATATAACGAAGCTTTAGAAAGTTATTTTTCTGCTGATAGAATAAAAACTAAAATTTTAGGTTTCAACCATCCAATTACGATGACAACAAAGCATAATATCGCAAGCTGTTTGTACAAAATGGGAAAATATAACGAAGCTTTAGAAATTTATTATTCAGTTGATAAAATGCAAACTGAATTTTTAGGTAATAACCATCCAAGTACAATGACAACAAAACGTAATATCGCGAGATGTTTGAACAATATAAAAACACAGCAAACAATTTGATTTATTTTTTGATTATTATTTTAGTTTATATATATATATATGTGTATCTGTTGATAAATTATAATAGACGAACATTTTTCTTTTAACGTTAGAGAACTCCATTTTTTATTCCTAAAAATGAAATCTTAATTTTATAAGCATTTTTAAATAAGAAAAATAGAGTTTCTTTTATATTTAAGACTATAAAATTTCTATATTCTATAAATTACATGTATTATTAATTATAAACTTGAAAATGAAACTAATTTACGGTTTAAAACAAATTTATAAAAAATCAAGTATTTTGAAAGCAATGGTTTTGTTATTGCGATTATATATATATGGGCCATTTCACGCGGTAAATAAAAAAGTAGTCAAATTTTATTCTCTTTTTTGTCAACTTTTAGCAAATGAATATTGATGTATACACAGGAAAGTTTATTTAAAATATGCATTTAATACTAGAATTAATTTATCTAAGTCATTTTTCTTCCTCCGAAAGTTTGTTCTTCAAAAGTATTTTACTTTGTATTATAGAAAAATTGACAAAGATTAAATTAAAAAAAAAAAGCCGATGGTAGGTATTGAATCTGCGTAGCGCCCTAACCACTTGCCCAGTAAGCACATGAACGTTTTTAGAACGTTTTTTTATAACGTTTTAAATGTTAAGAACGGCAACATAAATTAACTGAGAAATTTCATAAGTAAGCACAGGACGTTTTTAAAACGTTTTAATTCCGTTCAATTTACGGTCGAACGTTAAAAGAACCAATACAACCGTTTTTAAAACGTTTTTTTTTTTTGTAAACGTTTTTTTTAATGTTAATTTAAACGTTTTTTTAGCGTTTTTTAAGCGTTTTATTTTTTTATTAACTTATGAAATTTCTCAGTTAATTTATGAACGTTTTTAAAACGTTTTTTTAACGCGATAAAAAAACGTGAAAAAAACTCTTTTAGATATTACCGTGCTCAACGTTTTTTAAACGTAGAGCACGGTAATATCTAAAAGAGGAAGTATATTAATGCAAATAATGGCGTGACCTTCGATTAGGCGAATTGATTTATTTAAGTAAAAATTATATAAATTAACATATCTTTAAATCAACTTAGTGTTTGTATTGTTTTCTTGTGGAACTTAATTTGAAAATATATTGGAGTTTTTTTAGTTTAAAGTTGTATGCCTTCGTTGAAACTAGGTTGTGTTTGTATTTCTACTTGAATCAAGTAGAAATACAGAGTTTTTGTTCTTTAATTCTAAAAATAAAAAATGACAATACCAGTGGTTTTTATAGAAGAATTACTATAGCTGAAAAGGCTGAAAGGAAAAAATACGATGATTTGTTTCATTTTGAAGTAAGTCACTCACAAGAAAGTGAGTGACTTACTTCAAAATGTCATTATAAGATTTTAATTCTTAATGATATTCTGGTGTTATTACCAAATATTTGGCAGTATGAAACCTATAATATTACACTCTAAACTAAAAAGTGTTAAATTACACCAAAACGGTGTTCAGTATGAAATACACTAAAACGGTGTTAATTTACACCGTTTTAGTGTATTTCATGCTGCACACCATTTTAGTGTTAATTTACACTGTTTCGGTGTTAATTTACACCGTTTTGGTGGAAATTTGAAAAAAATTTAAATAGAAATATTTTTTGCTTTTAAAAATAATTTTATTCCCAATAAATATATACATACAATAACTTTTCAATAAATTCATAAAATTCGTTCTATATTCCCAGCAAACATGTCAGCGTTGAATCAACGTTGAAAACCGGTCGCAAAAGGTGTTGCGGAAACGTTGACAAAGTAATCGATTTTGCAAAGATTTGTCACATTGTTAAAGAAACGTTGATTAAACGTTGTAGCGTAACGTTGAAAAAACGTTACTAAAAGACGTTACAAAAATGTCTCAACTAAACGTTGAAAAAGCGTTACTTAAAAAGCGTTGCATAGGCGCCGCAACTTAACGTTGAAAAAACGTTACTTGAAAAGCGTTACTTTAACGTTGTTAAACCAGTCGATTTTGCAAGGATTTGTAACGTTGCTAGTAAAACGTCGATTTAACGTGACTCAAAGACGTCGAGTAAAGGTTAAAATATAACGTTAAATCAACGCTCAAATGCGCTGGAGAAAATATCGCCAAATATTATTAAACGTGATTAAACTTGGTTATAATGTATATTGAATTTGCAAATAAAACAAAATTGTATGTTGAACTCTGCACTTGCAATATTTCCAAAGTCAATTTTTAATACAAATAGTAATATACAATGAAAAACATAAAAAATATACAATTTATTTATATAAAATTTACAATTTATAGATAAAAATATAAACATCTTTTTTAAGATTTATGTGTGAGTGAATTTACAGGATTTACGTGTGTGAGTAAAATTTATGTGTGTGAGTGGATTTACAGGATATCGTATCGATAAGCCAGGATATCATTGAGATACAGAATCTAAATCAAAAAATAAAACTTGTATCATTATCAATCTGAAAGCAAATGTTTGAAAAATGTTATTGAATTAGTATGATTATTATTACATTTAAAAAGTAAAAATAAATATATATATATATATATATATATATATATATATATATATATATATATATATATATATAAATTATGTATATATATAAATATATATATATATATATATATATATATATATATATATATATATATATATATATATATATATATGTATATATATATATATATATGTATATATATATATGTATATATATATATATATATGTATATATATATATATATATATATATATATATATATATATATATATATATATATATATATATATATTATATATATATATATATATATATATATATTGTGATTGCATAATATATATATTGTAATAGCATAAAATAAGTAATTGTTTTTAAAAATAACACAACGTTTTTTATTCTTGAAATGTTTTGTAGTAAACAACTGGGGTTGATATTTGACTGGGGTCGGAGCCGGGTTTGATAAAATATAGCCGGGGCCAGGGCCGGGTTTGAGACCAGGTTGCATAAACATTAATACATCCTAAAGTATATTTTTTAAATTTAAAATTCATGCTATATTTTGTATTTATATGCATATATGAACATATTGTGATCAACATGATCATCATAATCATCATAACCATCATCATCACCATCATCATCATCATCATCATCATCATCATCATCATTATTATCATCAACAGCATAAAAGCGGAAAGCTTGACAATGATAATAAAAATTATGTTGATGTTGTTGATCGTCATCATGATAATCATCATCATCTTTATTATGGCACTATGAAAGGCACACTCTTCAAATTTTCTTACTTCTACCACAAACATTTTATACTGAAGCTGCTACCACTCTACACGTTAATACTTGAATTACTTTAATCTTTTCTAAAAAAAAAAAAGGTTGTTTGATACAAAGTTTTTTCTAATCTGTCTAAGATTATTCCTACTTTTTATACCTTGTTAGAGTCACACCACACATCCATCTGATCATTTTCTCTTTCGGCAAATACTACACCATATAAATACTAAAGTTTATACAACAATGAAAGGATATTGTATGCCAGCATCTAAACAAATAGCAAACAGATATGATTATATCCATAATATGTGTGCAAAAAGTGCATCTTGGAAGCTTATATTGCTGCTGGAATAAAAGTTTGGAAGCTTTTATTACTTCTCTTCAGTTTTAAATCAAGTCTCATTCTATTCTACATCTTTCAACATTAACTACGTTTTTTAGCTTTTTTATGAGAACATCTCTCTTAAGAAAAAATTGTCCTTTTTATTATTGCAATAAGCTAATGTATAAATAAAGTCTTGTCTGATGTAAATCTCTGTTATTCTCAGTTTACTAAACCTTGTATCATTACTTAGATGTTGATTCTAGAGACTTTTGGTGAGTTTTTAACAGTGTTATTAGCTAAAGTAAGTCTAACAATTAAACTCTAACTTATAGGTCTCATCTTTTAACTTTACCCCAGAGTAAAATAGAGCTATTTACAAGGAAATCTTACTCTAGTTTGACTCTGGAATATAACGGCCATACTCTTCTTGACAGTAAAATATTTTTGCTATACTTTAAATTAATCCATTGTTAAATATCGAAAATACTCTAGCTTCCAATACTTAAACTAATTCTCAAATAAACACATCTACAATGTGTGTTTCAGACAAGAAAAAAAATTTTGCTAAACTTTAAAAAAGTGCTAAATACGTGGTTCCAAATTTTCAAATCTCTAGAAAATACTTTGAACTCTCGAAGTATCCTACGATTCTTCTTCTTTTTGTTATTAGTTTCTTATAATTTTCCATGAAAAGGTTTTGAGGTAATTATATTACTTCTTTCTAACTACGGTAATGAAGTTATTCTTGAAGGCCTACCCTCTTTATTTCAAGTAACTTGAGGGTTCTATATTTGTTCCTGTAATATTTTTTATCTACAATGAAATCTAAAGTGGCTCTTTTTGCTGATAACTCCACTTTATACTCTTGTCTTGATAATAAATCCTCACTTTTTAATTGCTTAGAACAAGCAGCAACGTTTAAATCTGATCTCTCTTCTATATATATATATATATATATATATATATATATATATATATATATATATATATATATATATATATATATATATATATATATATATATATATATATATATATATATATATATATATATATATATATATATATATATATATATATATATATATATATATATATATATATATATATATATATATATATATATATATATATATATATATATATATATATATATATATATATATATATATATATATATATATATATAATATATATATATATATATATATATATATATATATATATATATATATATATATATATATATATATATACAAATGTATATATAGGTAGAGAGAAAATTTAAATAAGTGCCAGTTCGAATAACCGTAAACTTACTATATATATATATATATATATATATATATATATATATATATATATATATATATATATATATATATATATATATATATATATATATATATATATATATATATATATACATACAGTAAGTTTACGGTTATTCGAACTGGCACTTATTTAAATTTTCTCTCTACCTATATATACATTTGTATATATATATATATATATAAATATATATATATATATATATATATATATATATATATATATATATATATATAACTAAAAATAGTCATATATATTAATATATATATATATATATATATATATATATATATATATATATATATATATATATATATATATATATATATATATTATATATATATATATATATATATATATATATATATATATATATACTGTAACTAAAAATAATCATGTATCCATACATTAATTAACTAAAACTTACTTCAATAGGTGTAACTATAAATCATCAGTTTAAATCATATTACATACTTTGTTCATAAAATGCAAACCAGTTAAACCCAAATCATTCCTCGATCTTTGATCCACCAGAACTTTACTAAATAAATTTATACTGGTAATCAAACTACCACAAGTCAAAAAATTTAGACAGTGTTACTGAAATCAGCTTTGACCAATAGTTAATATTAGATTTTTATTTATTCTTTACTAAATAAAAAACAAAAAAAAGTTAAATCCGAAGAGAAACAAAATTATTTACAAACATAATTACTTATATTCTTCTTTGGAGTCCTCTTTAGTCGTGAAATTAAATTCTGCACGTACTTCTTTATGTATTAGTAATTATTTAGTAAAATAAATACAAACAAAATTATGTAAAAACAAAAATTTAGAATAAGTGTAACAGATTACAATATATATCTGGGCAGTAATAACAGATTACAATATATATCTGGGCAGTAGTAATAAAAGAGATTCAAAATATTACTTATTCCGAAACAAAAATAAAATAGTTTATTTGATATAGTACTTCACTGTTAATATAAAACTATAATTGTTTTTTTATTCATATAAAACAATTAAAATAGCAATAACTACTGTAAAATTTAATGACCCCTAGTTACTTTAACTCTTTTAAGTCTAAGCTTGTTGCAGGAATCAACAATTGGAAAATTATTATAGGTAGCTTTCATTGCATTAAAACAAATAGGCTAAAATAACCATCCATCTTTTTCTGAAACAAGATGGAAACAACTGCCTCTGCTTCAAACGTAATGTATATGTAAATAATGTATATATAAATCTTTATATTTGCATTCTTTACATATATATATATATATATATATATATATATATATATATATATATATATATATATATATATATATATATATATATATATATATATATATATATATATATATATATATATATATATATATATATATATATATATATATATATATACATATATATATATATATATATATATATATATATATATATATATATATATATATATATATACATATATATATATATATATATATATATATATATATATTTATATATATACATACATATATATATATATATATATATATATATATATATATATATATATATATATATATATATATATATATATATATATATATATATATATATATATATATATGTATAAATGAATATATAGTTTTTATGTGTATAAACATAGCTGTCATGTTTTGAAAATGTTTACAAGGGAGACTTGGAAAAAATTTTATACCACTGGATATTTGTCCACTAAAATACCTCTATCGACTAAAAAAGTTTTTTAATGATTTATTACTCTGACAACTAACTTAAAAATGTCCAAATTTGGTCACTGACTGAACTGAAATTTATTCTGTATAGATATACTTTTATATATTTATGATTGCGTTGAGCAATTTTAACCATTCTTTAACCATTTTTTTTAACTTATAAAATGAAAACAATTTAAAAAGTTAGAAGCTTGCTGTATTTTAAGTTACTAATGAGGAAAAGAAAGTTTTTAAATTATTTTTAAATGCAGGTTGGAGATAAATTTCTCTTTAAAATTCAGAAAACTCCTGCCAAATGGGAGAGACTTCATAGGTCTGTATTCAGATACTTAATAAAACTAGTATACAAACTCTTAAAATAATAAATAAATGTTAAACTATATAAAGATTAAATTCCTCACAAAATATTAAACTCTTAAATATTGATAATAATTCTTTAATAAAATTTCCAAACCATTATACCAACTTTTATATTTTTCAATAAAAATGACTAGACATGACAATATTTTGTAATTTAAAAAAAAACATGTATTTATTATACACACAATAAGCCTCTCTTATACATATATACATAAAATTATACATATATAATAAAAAATTTATTCTGTTAAGAAACTTAATTTAATCTGACTTATTATGTTTGATTAATTTTGATAACATTTTATAAATGTGAATCGTATTAAAACTAAGTACTATTTTTAACTAAGAAATAAATATTTAAAAAAGTTGAGCATTTTATTAAAATCGTCAACTTAAAACAAAATAAAACATTGACAAAAATAAGCTGAATAAATCAAATTTACCCTGAGATTTATGTACTTTATATACATTTTGATATAAAATCTAAAAGTTTTAAATTATTCGCAATAAAATAGGCTATAAAATATAACTTTACTAAAAAAATTTTTATGCCATATGCATGCATTCTATCAAGTATTCTTTGCCTTTCCATTACGGCAAATTATTTTTGTATTGGCTAGTTATTGAGGCAATAATTTTCAATGTGCTACTTCCTCAAAACAACGTTTTATTAACGTTGGCAAAGTAACACTTTTTCAACGTTTTTTAATTACCACATTTTTATAGTGATTATTTGCGTACTTATTTTCAACGTTTAATTAACGCATTTTTTTAAGAAGATAAGATACGTTTAAATTTATACACTTATTCAACGTTAAAAATGTAACGTTTAAAAAGCGGTTTGTTTTTAACGTTGATAAAGAATATACTTCGAAACGTTTTTAAAGTGGCTTTTTGCGTAAGTTGATTCCACGTTGAATAAACGTTTTATTTTGAGAGGCTAAATTACGTTACAATATCAACGCTTATTCAACGTCTCAATTTACCGCGATTTAGTATACAAAAACAGACATGGATTCAACGTTGAAAGCACGTTGTTTTTGTGACTGTAACGCTTTTTCTACGCTGCGACTGGTTTTCAACGTTGATTCAACGCTTACATGTTTGCTGGGTTAGTTCTGTACACAGCCATAATTTTTGTGAACCATGCAATGAAGACATAATATTTTTTTAACCTAAGCATTTTTACAATGTTTTTGAACAGTACCTATAGATAGTTTCATATGAAATCCGTGTATAAACACAACCAAGCAAAAAAAAAATCAATAATAGCGGTACCTTGCCTATATCGCTGGCCACTTTAAAATCTAACGTTGTTTTCTCTTAACAAACACAATGTATTAAGATGTTTAAACATTTTAAACAAAATTTGTAATTAGAGTTATACTTTGCGAAGATGAAATTTTATCTTCGTCAAGTATAACTCTGATTGCATATTTTTCTCGTTAAGCTCAAGCCTGTTTAGAATAAGCATAACTCTAATTTACAAACTTTAACTTTAATCGTTTAGTATAATTATAACTTTCAAATTTTATCGAAAGTTTATTTAGAGTAACGATTCTCAAATATATTCATTACAAAACCACTTAAACACATTTACAACAACCGTTTAAGGCTATGCTGATACCAAAAAGGTGAAATTTAACACCTTTTCATAAAACGGTGTAAACCTGAGATTATATTTTTGTAAAACGGTGTATAACAGCTTTACACCATTTTACACCATTTTACACCGTTTCATTAAAACGGTGTAAAAATAGAAAAACTCTAAATTGTTTAAATTTTATACTAAAACGATGTAGTTAATAGAAAAGGTGTTATTTTACACCGTTTTGATGAAAAATACACCTACAGAGTGTAAAATTACACTAAAACGGTGTAAATTTACACCTTTTTCCGAAACTATTTTCAATTAACACCTTTTGAGGTTATATTAACACCAAAACGGTGTCATTTAACACTTTTAAATTTAGAGTGTATATACCACACTTTTAATTAAAAGGTGTTAAATTACACTAAAAAGGTGTGCAGCATGAAAAACACCGAGACGATGTTAAGTTACACCGTTATAGTGTATTTTATGCTGCACACCTTTTTAGTGTTAATTTACACTGTTTTGGTGTTAATTTACACCGTTTTAGTGTTTTTCATGCTGCACACCTTTTTAGTGTTAATTTACACCGTTTCGGTGTTAATTTACACCGTTTTAGTGTATTTCATGCTGCACATCTTTTTAGTGTTCAATTACACCGTTTCAGAGCATTTCAGGCTAGTTTCAAACAAAAACACATCTAAAAATTAACATACACACATATTTAATTTTAAAGTACATAATAATATGTTCCTGTTTATTTTCTACTCATTAAAAAAGTTCTTTAAAAATGTCTTTATGGTTCATTTAAAGTTAATGATTTCAATAATTGACTTGCCTTTATTGATAAAAGAAGAACAATTTTTAATATAAACTGCCAACATTAACCAAAATGATTATGAACTAAGGATACTCTATTATGAACTATGGATATTCTGGTTATGAACTAACCCAGTAAGTACATGAACTTTTTTAAAACGTTTTTTTAACTTAAAAAAAAAACGTTTTTTAAACGTTCAGAATGGCAATACCTAAAAGACGTTTTTGAAAAAGCGTTTAAAAAACGTTTTAAAAAAATTGTTTAAAAAACGTTCTAAAAAAAACATTTAACAAACGTCCCTGAATAACCCAAATTAAACCATAAAAAAACGTCTTTTGAACGTTTAAAAGACGTTCTTTTTCAGAAAAGATTGCCAAATCCATAGGTACTATTATTAAATTGTTTGAAAGATTATGTTGGTTAAAAAAACAAGAAAAATAAATAGTTTATTTAAAAGTTATTTTTAAATTTATTTCCTAAAACAATTTATAAACAAAGTAATATCGTAACGATGATATCTGTTGGATTTAAGGCACTTTAACACAAGCAAAAAGTTGCCCTCTTTAACGAATCAGTATTTATTGCATCGAAAATCGACTCTGTGATGATTCGTGAGCAGTCGATGCACAAACTAAAAAAATAAACTATATATTTAAAACAGAAAATAATATGATAAATCTGAACAGTAATAATAAGACTATAGTATATAAATAATAATAATATTAATAAGTTTTTAAATTAGAAATGTTTTATATATATATATATATATATATATATATCAGTGGCGGATTTAGTATATGGCGTGGGGGAGCGAGCTGCCCCCACCACGCCCCCTAGAACGGTCTAACGGCGCCCCCTAAAACAATTAATATATATATATATATATATATATATATAAGATTAAATTACTGAAGGCAACCCCGGTCGCCCCTATTTATTGACTTGGCCCCCCCGCGACACTAAACCTCAATCCGCCACTGATATATATATATATATATATATATATATATATATATATATATATATATATATATATATATATATATATATATATATTATATATATATATATATATTTATATATATATATATATATTACAGTGCTTGTACAACGATATAAATGACCTATCCCGACGGGCATTTCTTTTTAAAAGTTACGATCTAAATGTATTTAAATGTATTTTAAACGTCTTTTAAACATTAATGTTTAAAAGACGTTTAAAAGACATTTAAAACACATTTAGAACGTAACTTTTAAAAACAAATGCCCGTCGGAATACCTGATCCTTACATGCAACCCCATACCATAAGAGAGCCTCCTTAATGTTTTACTGTGTGAGCTACACATATAGGACTAAATCATTTACCAAGTTTCTCCTCATATAAGCTTTTTTAGCTCCACAGAAGTCAGTAAAGGTACTTTCATCACTCCATAACACTTTATTCA